TTCCTATCAGATTGGCTTATTCGATGGCAATCAATAAAAGTCAAGGTCAAACATTTGATAGAGTTGGGGTATATCTAAAAAAACTGTGTTTCTCCCATGGTCAACTATACGTTGCATGTTCAAGAACTAGAGCATTTAATAGTTTGTTTTTCAAAATTGATAAACATTCTATTCAAGGTATGGTAGGTGAAAAATACTACACAAATAATGTTATATTTTTTAATGTTCTTAAATTATAGTCTTAATATTTTCATTTCTAAAATCGTTTTCATTTTTTATGTTTTAACATGTATATTACCCGCATTAAATTCGTTTTTAAGCATATTTGTTTTTATTTTTTATATCGAATTAATAGAATGAATCAGGTTGAAGATGAAGGTTTGTATTTATTTAGATATGTATTATGTTACAGATGTATGCTATGTTGTTAGTTCTTAAATATATGTTTATTTTTAGTTGCTGAATTACTAAGAAGTAAGTTTTGTTCCATTTTGTTATAAACAAATGTTATAAATTGCATTTATATGTTTGTTAATTTAAATCAACTTTACAATATTAAAATGTTTTAAACGAACTTTAAATTTTTGTAAATGAATTTAATCCTCAAAGATTAAATTTTTTTTTATTATTAATAAAAATTATACTAGATTTAAGAATGAGTCGACTTGAATGTTTGTTTGTTTTTTTATTTAGACGATGACAATATTGAAGCAAGTAATTAAAAAGCATTTTTAAATTTTTAAAAAGAAATAAAAATACTTTTCAATATATATGTTTTCTTTGAGGTAGATTTAAAGTTTCAGGTTTTTAAAATCATATATATTATAAGATTTAAGAATGAGTCGACTTGAATGGTTGTTTGTTTTTCTATTTAGACGTTGGTAATAATATTGAAACAAGTAAGTTATAAAGCATTTTTAAAAAGAAATAAAAATATTTTTCAATATATATCTGTTTTCTTCGAGGTAGATTTAAAATTTCAGGTTTTTAAAATCATATATATTATAATATTAAATTCTTTTTTACTTTAAAAATATCTATATTATAGATCTACTGAAACATAGAAAAATAATTAAAGTTAATTAAATATAATAAATTAAGGTAGTAGATTATTAGAGTAGATTAAATTGTTTGATCTATTTAATCAACTTAATAACGTACTATTAAAGTAAAGATTTATTTCAGTTGTTTGTTTGTTAAAATTTAGTTAGAGTTTATTTAAAATTTAAATTCTTTAGTTAATCAAGAGAGATCTAATAAAGGTATTAATTACATTAGTTAGTTGAATGTGGTATTTAATATGTATTTTATCGATATTTTAACGTCTAAACATTAAAGTGCTTTTATTGTTTAGATACAGAAGTGAAGAAGCAAATAAGTCAGTGTTTTTGCTATTAGATATTTGTTAATAGGAATTTGTTTATTTGTACTGCCACTGGAATTTTAAAATATCAAGTTCTTTAGCTTTATTTTATACTTTCTTTTAAGAGAGTTGGAACAAAAACTAAGTATAAATTATGATTAGTTTAGTTTAATAAATAAAGCATTAATATTTAGAAGATTTAAAGTTTACTTTAGTTTATAGTTTTGGTTTAGTTTATAGTTTTGTTTTTAGCTTTAGTTATTTTTTTCTTACTTTAGACAACTTTATGGATGAAATGAGGGGGATGGGTAAAACAATTATTTAGATATGTATATATTTATATGTTAACATTATTTTATCGATTATTTTATATTTATTTAAGTATATATTTGTCTTTAGTGTCTGGTGGAAGTATAGCTGGTAGGGCTGCGTTTTATATTTTATATATTTTGTATGGAGAAATATGTGCAATAGGTGGAAAAATTAATTAATAAATATGACACTTTTGAACTGGTTGCATTATTGCCCTATATTTTTATTAAAATACAAAATGTTGCATGTTTAACCCTTTTTAATTTGCTCTCTTTTTTTTTAGCATCTTCTGTTTCGAATGAAAAAGGTGAGGTTATGCTAACTTTTTTTTAAATAAAATTGCAAATGTATAATTTTTATTATATTCTTCTATTTGTAACTTTAGATTCCTTATCATACCATCAATACAAAACTTACCGCTCCCAACACCTGGGACCTCTCTCAGAGAGGTCCTTCAACAAATGGAGAGATAATGGTGGAATGAATGAGCCCTCCTTCAAATGGAGGGCTCATCCATACCGGGGTGTTGGGAGACACCGAAGAAAAAACAGCAACCAAAAGGTTGTAAATGTCTTCTATCAGTAGAGATATTTATGACTTTTTGGTTGCTGCTTTTTCTTCGGTGTTTTTTTTTTTAATTTTTTAATTTTTTTTTAAATATATATTATGTTGTATATTTGATTTAATTTGATCTTTTTTAATGAAAATTTTAATTGTTTTCTTACCAATTAAACCTGAACTTCAAAATATAGTTGAATTGATTCATTATCCAATTATCATAATATAATGATGCTGCATTCTTTTGTTAAAAACAATTATTTGGTAGTTTCATTTATTGAACTCACTGCTTTTAAAATTTACCAAAACCCAAGGCAATATATTTAGCTATATAAATACAATTTATTTATCTCGATTCAATTCTTTATCTTTAATGTTTATAGTTTGGCTCCTTGAAAGTTTTGCTTTTTTTATTATGAATATTTTAAATCCGTTGTGATGTCTTTTAAATTAAACTAAAGTTTACTAAAAGCCAACATAAAAATAACGTTTTTGAACAACACCAAAAAGAACTGTTGCATCCCTACAGCAACTGCTGCAGTATCACAATAGGTTACTAAAAGCAGGTATATTGTTTTCCAGTTGTTGTTTTTTTTCATATATAACTACTTATCTATATAATACTATAGTACGTTTGATTATATCTTTATCTTTAAGTGTTAATAATTTTGTTCTTTGAATGAGATAAGTTAAACAAGTCGGCTTTCCATTAAAGATATTGGTTTCAAAATTGAACACCATTGGCAAAATGCTTACAAAATTAGGTAGTTTTTAAAAATCTGTTTTCTATTTAATACACTTTTTTTTAAATATACTTTTTAAATATACTTTTTTAATATACTTTTCTATAACAATCCTACTAATATGGAATCACCTAGCTTTTTAAATATGTTTAATTGTCGTCCCTATCGGTAATAAATATTTTGAATTATTTGATATGGTTTTCTTTACAATAGGCTATGCTTGGCTCCTCGGTGCTGTAAATAGTGGCTTCAACTTTGTTTTTTTAAGAAAAATGTGTTTTATATATGCTTCTGTTTTAAAATATTTTTGTTACATATTTAACTATATATCATGTAAATAAATTTCTTTTAAATATATGTAAACTTGAGACTTGCTTTTTTACGGATTTTCAAAAAGTGAACAAAGGTTTAAATATATTTTTTAACTGTCTTATAGTTTTATCAATTTTATTAAAGCTGAATAATTACTTCAAAAATATTGAGTAAAATCCAATTGCTTTTATTATTAACCTGATCTATACAAAAATTAATAAAATAAAACTAATAATTTAACGCCAAGTTAAGGCAAAATGTATTTCCGACATTTTATAAAATTAGTATAAATATGGATTGAATGTATGCTGAAATAAATATGTTGATATACGTTAGCTATAAAGTAAAATTGATATATTCCTTTATTGTTTTTTTATAAACAAGTTTCTGCTGGATTACTAATTAAAAAAAGGTTGGTTTAGTAATAATCTTTATCATATAATAATATAGGATCCGTATGTAGGGCTAAGCCCTTTCCGGAATTGCGATATATTTTTCAACTTATAGTTTTTTTGGATATCCAACTTCTATGCCTACAAGTTTGGGTGTAATATTTTAGATGTTTTAAAAATATTCAAAAAGTATATTAAAATTATTGAAAAGTTTAGGTGCAATAGTGACATACTTTTAAGCTCTTCACTCAGTAAAATGAAAAGTTTCAAAAAAAAAGAAACGACTCAGCTTAAAGCAAAATTAAGAGTAAAATATATTCCCAATATTTACCTAAACAATTTTACGGAATTTGAAAGTTTTGGCATCGATGTTCTGTGCATATAATTCAAGCCATTTTTAACTTCTACATGGTTGTGATTTGCGCATTCAATGTCTGAACATTGCAAAAGAAATGGTTAACTTTATCTTTAATGAAGCTAAGAATTTCTTATTCACCTGGCCTAATAAAGCTTATAGTTTTGTTTAACTTAGAAGCCAAGAAAAATTAAAGTGAGCAGAACTAAAAAAATGTATAAATAAATTTATATTTCATTAGAGAAAGTAAATAAAGATCATTTTGTTAGTAATGATTTATTTATTACTAACCCGTATTACAGGTTGCTTACTGCTACAATGTTTGAACACTGCGAAAAAAATGGTTAACTTTATCTTTAATGAAGCTAAGAGTTCTGTTAAACTAAGAAGCCAAGAAAAATAAAAGTGAGCACAACTAAAAAAATGTATAATAAATTTATATTTCATTAGAGAAAGTAAATAAAGATCAAATTGTTAGTAATGATTTATTTACTACTAACCCATATTACGGGTTGCTTACTGCTAGTAATATATTAAAAGAATGCTTGGATATAAGTCTATATTATTATTATATTTCACATTATTGTATTAAGATTGTGTATATCAACTTACATATATATTAACTAAAAATTGAGGGTAAAAAATTATATATTAAAATTTTTCTTTTGATTAAATTAAAGTAGAACATCCAAAATTAAATATGCAAATAATGCAAACAAAATAAATACAAAGTTTACAAAGAAATATTTTATTGTTATTATTATTATTAATTTATATTAAAACTTGCACATTATGATACCTGTAACAAAAATTATTCTCAAATCAATAAAGAGCTTGTAGCACTATTAAGTATAAAATAAAAAAATTGGCTGCATTCAAAAAAACTTTTGAGCTTTAAAAAATAGGTGTCATTTATAAAATTTAAAAGTTTTCTGTCACTAGTAAAAAAAAAAAACATTACATACTGCATCTTTTTTCATCTGCAACTGAGAAACCTCTTTATCAATACGCTTTATTTCCACATCAATCTAAACAAAACAAAATTTTATTAAAATCTTAACATTCTTTAGTTAAACAACTTTTTTACAAAAAAGGAAAAAAACTAATTCAAAAAAAATGCTGATTGGTTGACCACAAAAACAATAAAGTTATTCTGCAGAATTTATCCTGGGAATTTTATCATAATTAATACTCATTATAATAAAATGCACAAAAATAATTTCTTACAAAATAAAACATAAAATACTGAGAAAAGAAAGAAACCATTAGCATTAAACAAATATTTTATTTGACTTCAAAATCTTACAAAAACAAATTTTCTCCATGCTTGTGACAAAAAACAGTATATAACAAAATAAGATTAAAAAACATTTTTTTATTAGTTTAGTAATTTTCTTTTTTAGTCTATTGATCTTTTCATTCTTTTTTTTTCTTTTTTTTTACAGATATTTGAATACAAATGCAATTATATAAATAAATCAGAACTTAATTTATCAATGTAAATAATGCAGAAATCAAAAAAGAGTTTTTTAATTATCAACAGATAAAGAATAATCTACTTAAGTCAAGGATAATCTACATAAAACTAATGTCCAAAACTTTAAAGGTATCATTGATACCAATACTAATATTTTGTTCAGCTTAATTAAATCCCATAAATCTTTGAAAAATAAAGCAGTGCCAACAATTAACCATCACCAAACCAACCAAAGTACTGTCACTTTGGATTAGACTTTATGACTATTTATAGCCGTTACTATCCTAAGTTAACAATATCTTCGAACATGAGAGAATTGCTTATCAATGAAATTCAAAAAAAAAAAAAAATCAAATTAAAAATCAATGAATAAATAGATCATAGGGAAAGGTATTTAATCAAATATTCATTTGCATAGCACCACTGCACATCTCTTTTCTAATTTTTCAAACTTTGTAACTAATGAGTTTAACATACACAGTAAAAAAAAGTTTTTACTTTTATATTTTATTGAGTCTAAATGGTTCTTTTACATAAGAATGTAAAAACCAAAAAAATAATTCTTTTAGATAAGAAACACAAACCAATAAATATTTTGTTACTTTAGTACGCGCAATTATACGAAATTCTGCAATTTGTCACTGTAAAATTTTCAAACTGACCAGTATATGTGAAAGAACTTGAACAAGAAGTAATAACTTTTCCAAAGTGCATTGCAAACAAAAAAAAGTGAATATTTAGATTATGCTAATTTATCGAAATACTTAAAACATCATAACAAATGTATGTCAAGGTCCTGGGTCAAATTACAAAACTAAAAAGCAGTTGAGTGAAACTGAAATGAAGATGGTTTAAAAAGTAAAATAATGGTTGAGATTGGGAACAAAAGATCCTCAATAATTTTTTCTGCCACCTGATATGAAAAGCTTTTTGTGCTAACATAAAATAAATAAACATTTATCAACAATATTGTAATTTCATTAGATGTCTTGGTGTTTTGAAGTGGTTACTATATAAAATTAACGACTTTCTCAATTGGGGTTGGTTAAATTGCAAAAAAAATGACTTAAAATATTATATGGTGTTAAAAACACCTTTGAGTATCACAAGGCCTATATAAAAGCCTCAAAAGACAAATTTTGTTAGTCCCTTCAGATAAGATTGTAAAATGCTCAATTATCAATATAGTTTTTTTAATAAAAAGAACTTTGACCACGCAAAAAATACTTGATTGTAAAAAAACTTAATGAAGTTTAGATGATTTATAAATGAACAAACCAAAGTACCATCACTTTGGATTAGACTTTATGACTATTTATAGCTGTTACTATCCTAAGTTAACAATATCTTCGAACATGAGAGAATTGCTTATCAATGAAATTCAAAAAAAAAAAAAATCAAATTAAAAATCAATGAATAAATAGATCATAGGGAAACGTATTTAATCAAATATTCATTTGCATAGCACCACTGCACATCTCTTTTCTAATTTTTCAAACTTTGTAACTAATGAGATAGTTTAACATACACAGTAAAAAAAAGTTTTTACTTTTATATTTTTTTTGAGTCTAAATGGTTCTTTTACATAAGAATATAAAACACAAACCAAAAAAATAGTTCTTTTAGATAAGAAACACAAACCAATAAATATTTTGTTACTTTAGTACGCGCAATTATACGAAATTCTGCAATTTGTCACTGTAAAATTTTCAAACTGACCAGTATATGTGAAAGAACTTGAACAAGAAGTAATAACTTTTCCAAAGTGCATTGCAAACAAAAAAAAGTGAATATTTAGATTATGCTAATTTATCGAAATACTTAAAACATCATAACAAATGTATGTCAAGGTCCTGGGTCAAATTACAAAACTAAAAAGCAGTTGAGTGAAACTGAAATGAAGATGGTTTAAAAAGTAAAATAATGGTTGAGATTGGGAACAAAAGATCCTCAATAATTTTTTCTGCCACCTGATATGAAAAGCTTTTTGTGCTAACATAAAATAAATAAACATTTATCAACAATATTGTAATTTCATTAGATGTCTTGGTGTTTTGAAGTGGTTACTATATAAAATTAACGACTTTCTCAATTGGGGTTGGTTCAATTGCAAAAAAAATGACTTAAAATATTATATGGTGTTAAAAACACCTTTGAGTATCACAAGGCCTATATAAAAGCCTCAAAAGACAAATTTTGTTAGTCCCTTCAGATAAGATTGTAAAATGCTCAATTATCAATATAGTTTTTTTAATAAAAAAAACTTTGACCACACAAAAAATACTTGATTGTAAAAAAACTTAATGAAGTTTAGATGATTTATAAATGAACAAAATAAAATTGAGGAGAAAACAATTTCATTAAATCCATTTCCATAATTAGACTGTGTAATAAAATGCATATCTTTTGATTAAGCAAATGCCAAATTGTGTTGAAATTTATCTTAATGGATTACTGAAGATTTATTTATCTTGATGGATTGCTTTATCACAAACATGTCTGCAAAATTCTTCTGGCTTATGAGGCAAGCGCTTTACCACTACACCACTATCATATATCATTAAGATATTAAAATATCTACAGTACTAATAACAGCTACTTTTAAACTCCTAGATAAACTCTGATATTTTTAAAATGTCGTAAATTCCAATTTATTCTTGTTATTCAATATAACTTTAACAATTAATTTTTAGAACAAAAAAAAAAAGCTTTAAAATTATATACTTTTAATGATAAATTTTTCCAGACTATAAAGCAACTTATAAACATTTTTTTTTTATATTATATGATATTCAATTTTTCACATAACATCTTAGTAATCTTGATGTTGTTAAGTAAGTATTATGAGAAACCCAGAACTTAATCACCATTGTCAATAGTTAAACACTTAAAATATTCAGACCTATAAAACGTTCTCATCACATAAGACTCAGAAGAAAAAAAAAAGTCAAATAACACTCAGAAAAAAGCAACATCAAATAACACTCAGAAGAAAAAAACATCAAATAACACTCTGAAGAAAAAAAAACATCAAATAACACTCAGAAGAAAAAAAAAAACATCAAATAACATTCAGAAAAATCAAATAACATTCAGAAGAAAAAAAATATCAAATAACAATCTGAAGAAAAAAAAACATCAAATAACACTCAGAAGAAAAAAAAACATCAAATAACACTTAGAAGAAAAAAAACATCAAATAACACTCAGAAGAAAAAAAAAACATCAAATAACAATCAGAAGAAAAAAAACATCAAATAACATTCAGAAGAAAAAAAACATCAAATAACAATCAGAAGAAAAAAAACATCAAATAACATTCAGAAGAAAAAAAACATCAAATAACAATCAGAAGAAAAAAAACATCAAATAACACTCAGAAGAAAAAAAAAAACATCAAATAACATTCAGAAAAATCAAATAACATTCAGAAGAAAAAAAACATCAAATAACAATCTGAAGAAAAAAAAACATCAAATAACACTCAGAAGAAAAAAAAACATCAAATAACACTTAGAAGAAAAAAAACATCAAATAACACTCAGAAGAAAAAAAAAACATCAAATAACAATCAGAAGAAAAAAAACATCAAATAACATTCAGAAGAAAAAAAACATCAAATAACAATCAGAAGAAAAAAAACATCAAATAACATTCAGAAGAAAAAAAACATCAAATAACAATCAGAAGAAAAAAAACATCAAATAACAATCAGAAGAAAAAAAACATCAAATAACATTCAGAAGAAAAAAAACATCAAATAACAATCAGAAGAAAAAAAACATCAAATAACATTCAGAAGAAAAAAAATATCAAATAACAATCAGAAGAAAAAAAACATCAAATAACATTCAGAAGAAAAAAAACATCAAATAACATTCAGAAGAAAAAAAACATCAAATAACATTCAGAAGAAAAAAAACATCAAATAACAATCTGAAGAAAAAAAAACATTAAAAAAATATTCAGAGCATGACAACAAACCTCTAAATTTCGATTTTTAAGTTTTTCAATTGATGCATCCATAGTTTCCAATTCAGAAGATGATTTCGATTTGATTTCCTAAACAAATTAATATTGGAGAAATCTGTAAAGTCAAATTTGAGTTGTTTTTTTTTTAATTTAAAATTAAATTAAAGTTGAATAGTTTGTCATAAACTCATTTTAACTGTAACAAAAACCAAAATGTAATAGAAATTGACCAATAAAAAAATTAAATACTCAAAATTGTTTATTTAATTTTCTACTGAACCATGAAAGTTAAAATAAAATTACACCATTTTTTTTAGATCAAGTTAAAGTTTGAATTAAAATTAAAATTTGTGTTACATGTATAGAGGTTGTTTTTTTTGTAATGCTTCAATTCAAATAGTTTTAAGCAACCATTTTGCATAACTATTTATTTTGCATAAATTAAAATTGTGTTAAAGTTATAACGAAGGGATCTTGAATCTAATTATCATTAGATATAGCCATTAAACAAATTTAATCAAACAAATTTAATTTTAGAATAAATCTCTGATGTAATTTCTCACTCAATTCATTAGAAACAAATTAGAAAAACTGACTAATTGAAGTTGATAAATTTGATAAGAAGCCAAATTTGTTTAATTTTTATGCTCCATAAATGATAAAAATATGAAACATGGTACCAATAATAATACCGACATTACTGATATGCCAAATATTGATCAAAATGTTACGAACTGACTTATTTTGAACTCAAACAATTTAAAGTTAATTTATATCAAGTTTTATCAACTTTAACTTTACTAGCTTACATATTATATGCTAGTTATAGTTAGTTACATATTTATAGCATATTACAAATATATATATTTTTTGATATATTATTAAGATTATTTATGTTGTGTCTATTAATGTATAACCAATGGAAAAATTAAAACTTAAAAAATAGACCTACAGGACTATTTTTTAATTTTTCTGATTTTGTATTTTACATATTTATTTGGTATTTTTGAAGAACTTTTAGTTCATTTTAGTTCAAGAACTTTTTAGTTCATTGCTTTAACATTAACAAGATTGCAACAAAAAGTCAACATGCTTTACCTGGAGTTTGAGGTTTAGCAACAACATGTTTTTAGCAAAGTAAAAACAATGACTTAGAGACATTTTTTAATTTAATGCCAATTTTAAATTTAAATTAAAACCAAGAAAACTAACAATCAAAACTGGATTTACAACAACAGCTTAAGTCATAAAAAATCATGATAACTTTGAACCATGCATGCAGGAAAAACAACAACAAATTTTTAATGACATCTTAAATTTATTTTGCTGCATAACAATCCTTGATCTAATGTTGTACAACCTGTAAAGTTCTACTTAGAAACACTTAAATGGGACACCCTACTCAATCTTCAAAATAATTCAGACATCGCTCTGTCTGGCTAACATCTCTACAAATCAATGATGCATCCAAAAACCATTTCATTTCACACAATGCAAAATTAGGTTAAGTCCTTTAGGCAAGATCTACAAGAAGAAAAAAGGGAGCTAGGGCTAGCCACAAACAATACTAGGTTACCAACGAACAATACTTTAAACATTAAATGTAAAACAAGTTTTTAACAACAAAACTTTCAATTAATGAAATATATACGCCGAGTTAATGAATGAATCATGTATGATTCATTCATTAATTCAACATATTTAATTAAGACTTGACTTAAACTATTTTTAGAAAGTTTACTAAATAAAAAAAAAACAAGACTATTTTATGTTACTACATAAAATAAACTTGTTCAAGCATTTAATAATATAACTAAGAGAAGCACTTTACAATCATAAGCACTTTATTAACATTTTTACTAACAGAATCACTTAACTGACCTTTTTTCCTCCTGGAAAATCAATTATATTATTTTTTATAAAGAAAAAAAATTCAGCTAACATTGCTACATAATCAATAAAAACACATTTAAACTCACCAATGCACGTACAAACTCATAAGCAATACACAAGCGAGAAAGATGCTCAATGTCACGCATCACTTTTTGATACATCAAATAAGATGAACGTTCCTATAGATAAATTATAGTTATAATATATAATACTATAGTTATAAATTAAAAAAATATTTTTGTAATTTTATTAAATTGAGAATGTGATGCAGATAAAGTTTGTTTTTTTAAAAAAGTGAATAACTAACAGTTTGATGCCTAATCCAAGTGATACATATTTTAAAATGAAAGGCAAAAAAAAATTTTTTTGATATAATAGACTAAAACAAATTTCTAAAAATTTTTTAAAACTTTTAGATGTTAGAACACTTCAATTGTTTTTATTTTTTATTTTTTTATTGCAGAGATCTTTTCCTTAAAATTTTTTTTTACCATTTTGTTTGTTAATATTAGAGCTGTACCGAATTTAGTTTTTCAAATCCGGCCAGAGCTGGATTTGTCAGATTTCTACTGACAAATTTGGCCAAAGCCGGAGCCGGATTTCAAAATAAAATTATAGGAGCCGCAATCCTGTACATCCCTACTTGATATTAAGAATGGTCAACAATCTTTACCATTCTCAATACCAAGTGACAACTGTTAAACTTCATTGTTATTATTAAAATTTTACATAACATATTATAAAATAACAAAATAATTGATAAATTATTGAAACTTTTAATTTGAAAGTGAAGTAAAGTAACTTCAGTTTCAGTTCCTTTTCTTTTTTGATCAGTTTTAAAAACCAATTGAGCTGCATTATGTGGCAGAAGTGAACTATGATGATCATTGAGGACCTCCCCAGCAACACTGAACAAATGTTCTGATGGTACACTTGTTGGTGGGGCACCCAAATAAATGCAAGCTACTATCGCCAGAGCTGGCTATTGTTGCATGTTATCACTCCACCACTGTAATGAATCAGCGTGTCTCTTTATTTCTGGTTCTGCCAGATACTGGCTTAGCTGAGTATCAATGCATGTTGGTAATTTTTGTTCATGTGCTGTGTCACCAGCGGACATAATCTAAACAATTTTATCAATACATTGTCAGAGTAATGATGATGATGTAGAAGAATTACCCAGCGGGGCTTGTTTTGCTGGAATTTCTTCAATTTTGTCGATCTGCTGCTCAGCATGCTCAGACTGACTTTCATCTTGCATTGATACCCTCTGCACTGTAACTTTATTAAATGTATATTTAACCACATTTGTTTCTTCACTTCAGACTCTATTGGGTGTCTTCACTTCAGAATTTCTTGTGTCTTTTCTTTCGAAATTTTTGTTGAGTTAATGTTTGAAATTAAGCTTAGCTAATTAAACTGTAATTAAATATAAATATAGATATCATTACAACACAGAGTTCATAGAATATATTTTGTATGATTTGTATAAATAAAATATTAAGTATACATGCAAACACAGGCAAAAAAGTTGTAATAAATGTCTGACCAAAATTCAGAACCCAGCTAAAATATTGCGGGATTCGCTAAGTTTTTGCCGGAGCTGGATTTGACCAGATTTTGGTCGGAGCAGGAGCCGGAGCCAAAATCCAGTACAGCTCTAGTTAATATTAGAACTTTTTTTTCAAGATATATATCTTAATGATGATGATTTGATAATATTGATGCATACTTAATTTTTTTTTATTATATTTCACCTCAAAGCTATATGTTTTTTAAAAAACATAGCAGCTGTAATATCTTCTATTCTATCATTTTCAGTAAAGTATGTCAATTTTTACGTAAAGTTTATTTTTACTATTTAATAATACTAAATTTAGATCCAAAGAAGAGTTAAAATTTGTAGATAAAATAAACAGTTTAAATAAAATTAATAAAGACACAAAAGTAAATGAAAAAAAAATTAGAAAAGTAAAAATGATTAGCAATTTTTAATAACAAAACAACATTTACAAAACAACAAAACAACATTTACAACAAAACACTTTTTACCTCTTTTAATTTCTTGATAGTAGGCATGATCTCGTCTGTTAAAATCTTTAAAACAAAATATTAAAAAACAATTTCTTTTAAATTAGTAATAAATAATACATTTTAGATCAATAAAAGTTACAATAGACACTTACAGCATCAAGTTCTTGCAATTTATTTTGCTTCTTTTCTATTGTTTTGTAAGCCTGCTGTTTTTTAGTCTCATATAACCGAGTTCCAGCTGCTTCTTCAAGCATAGATAATATCTTAATTTAATAAACAATAAAATTAATTCATATAATTTAAAACTTTAAAAAACAAATGAAAAACACTTGATATTATCACACAAAACTTTATCTAAAACTTTCATATTTTAATTTATATTTGCACACAAAACTTTATCTAAAACTTTCATATTTTAAAAACACATAAAAGTATATATGTACACAAAAAACATAAAAGTATATATACACACAAAAATTCTTTCGCTATTAACGAATAAAATGTCATGATTAAAGTTTTTAACTAAATTAACCTACAGAGGTATATCTTTTTTATATAACATGCAGGGTAAACAAACTAAACAAAGAAAATATTAAAATAAAGTTTTATCTTGTCAACACTAGTGAAAAATAGAGATATTGCAGGTAAATGCAGGTAAATGAGGTATTGTAGGTAAATGAGGGGTATCTGGTACTGATATTAATGTACCAACAATACATACAGTTATATAAACACGTTGTTATGCTTTGAAGTTATATAATTTTCTAAAATCAAGAAATATTTTAAAACTTGTTTGTGATGACTGATGATTTATCTTATCGACAGAATGATAATGACAATTGTTTGACAGAAGCTGAGAAAGTAAAAGTTGATGAATTTAGAAAATAATCTGAGAGAAGTGAGATTAACAAAAGTAATAAAGATTAACAAAAAGTAAAATAACAATAATTTACCTTCAAGTTTAATTATAACACCAAAAAATGGACAGAACAGAAAACTTTTGTTCTTGAAATTATAAGCTTCCAAATAGGGTCAAAAAATAACAATGATATTTTTATGTCAATTCTCTTTGAAAGTAATTAATTTAGTGAAAACATGCTTTGGTTATAAAATTATTCCAGAAATATAAGAAATTTATCAAAATGAAAATGATGTTTCAAAAAACTGTCTATACCCTGCAATAAAAATGTCTGAGTTATCTAAAAATAGTAAAAATCAATTCGGTAATGAACTTTCAAAAAAACTAGTACAAACATGTTGAATGTAAGCAAAACCTTGAGAAAATGAACAGAAATAAAAAGGCTACAAATAGTATTTTGTTCTGGTATAAATAAACTGACTAGTTTCAGACTTAAACCATAACAATTGTGTATTTTTGGTAAAATCATCAATTATTATGATTAATAATTAATGATTTTACTTTGTTATTTATATTTATGTCCTGTATTAATACTGTCTTAAATTATTCTGTTTAATTATAGACTTTACAACTGCTCATCAAGACTGGACTTTAGAAGATTGGAAAAAAGTGTTGTGGAGTGACGAAAGTTCATTCTAGATCTTTTGTGGAGTAAAGAGGGTAATTGTGAGAAGAAAGGGTGAGAGGTTTCATCCTGATTCCATAACTTCCACTGTAAAACATGGTGGTGGATCTCTAATGGTTCGGGGATGCATATTCTGACATAGGGTTTGTCTTTTGTACTGTTGCAGAGACAACATGAATTAAGATCAGTACAATATAAGCGTTAGAAATCACATGCTACATTTAGCCAGAAAGCTTCATGTCATAAAAGATTTCTTTATCTTCCAAAATGATAATGTACCTTACCATAAAGCTAAGCGTTTTTTTTTTAAACAAATGTTGACGTTCATTTCTTTATTTATTGACGAATGTCTAATATAGGAGGTCTAATTTAATTTAGATTTTTTTCTAAAGGCCTTTTTTTTTTTTAAAAAAAAAAAGAGAAATTCTAGATATAGAGGACTTGTTTTTAGAAATAGGTGGTTGTGCAACTCTACTTTGAAACCTGTGTTATTGGCCATGAAAATGCCAGTTATATTTTCCATTCTTTTAATTTTTATTTTTTTTATTTAAATAATTTTTTATTAAATTATAAGGGAGTTATTGAATTTTATCAATTTTTTATTAATTCAAAACAATTTTTCACGCATTTGCAAAGCATGCAACTTAATGATAACTAATATGCAATAACATTATGACTGTAAACTGTTATCCACTAATACAAAATAGTGAATTTTTCTCAATTTAGTTTGTTAAATTTATTTACTTATAAAAAAAAATTGTTTTGACATTCCTTTTTTAAGACATTTAAAAATGATAATATAATATTAAGTATTTAATAAGTTATTAAATTTATAATTTAATAAGTTATTAAATTAAGTTATTATGAAACATGATATTATTATATTTGTAATAATATTATTAAGTGTTTAATAATAAAATAGCATATTATTGGTGTTGTTAAACATTCAATAAAAAATGAAAACATATATAGCATAATTATATTAATATAATTATGTTATATATGAAAACATAACTATGTTATATATGAAACATATATTAAACATATAGTTCTATATATTCTGTTAAATTATATATATTTCTGCAAATCTTAAAAAAACTTTTTAAAACTTTCATAAGGGCAAGCAAACATTAATTTAACAATAATAAGAAAATTAAAAAATAGCTTTTGAAGATGGTTTCTTTTAAAATAATTGCATTCATTTTAACTAAAATTTCTCATGCTTTTATAAATGCATCTAAAAACCATGCTAAAAAATTATTTTCTTCAGTTGTGTACTTAAAAGTAATGCTATTGAGGAAAGTATTTGCATGGTTTCTTTTAAAGTTGTTGAAAATGCGTTTTAAATTTTAGTAACTTATTGTTTTTTTATAGCAATTATGTTTTTTTTATAATAAAACTATTATTTGCATAATTATTTGGAAAAAAAATTGCTGAAGTTATGCGTTTGTTTTTAAAAATTTTAAGCAAACGCTAACATTTGCTTAAGTAAAAGTAAGGAAACCTGATGTCTATTTTACTGTCTTTTTTTTACTAAACGTTCACACATTGGTCGACTGGGGTAGACATACTAAGTATTAGTAATTCTTCCACTTCTTGACTATTTACTGTAGTTTATGAAAAAGGTAAACACTGTACAAATATAGTGATTGATATATATATATATATATATATATATATATATATATATATATATATATATATATATATATATATATATATATATATATATATATGACAATAAGCTTGCAAAAAATTGCAAGTACTTATAGTTTTAAAAAATAAAAACTTTTTAAAAATTTTTTTGCATGAGTTTTGATAAATAATTAATCTTATTATTTTGAATAATAATCAAAATGAGACTAATTGAAAATAGCAACAAAAAAATATTAACTCATAAGTTATATTGAAACTTGTTAAGAGGCAAATTTCAAAATAACTTATGAATATACTAAAAAAATAGCAAAAATATTATAAACTATATACACTACCGTTCAAAATTATTCGAATAGCATCAACTTTTTTAAAAAGTGCTATTTTTTATCTAACTATTTTTTATGTTTGTTTTTGTACTATTAGATAATTAAAAAGCATTTTGGTTAAAAAGCTTTGATAAAAATCATAAAATAGCAAAAAGCTAAAGTGGGAAAAACTAAATACAAAATAGACCATCAATAACTGTAAACGCAGACTGATGTGTCAATGTTTTAAATCTTTGGTATCCAGATAAGATTGTTTGTCTGGAAAAAATATATATCGTTGAATTTATGATAAATTGTCTATATTGACTGAAAAACATGGTGGATGTAGTGTTAAGGTGTGGGGCTGTTTTGGTTAGAATGCCACAGATGACTTTGTAAAAATAGAGGGAGTAATGACAAAAGTAGTTTACTTGTACATTTAAAAAATTATAATTCACCTTTAGAAAGATTAATGAGAATTAATTCATTTTTTCAGAAGAAAATAACTTGAAGCTTAAATCTAAAACATATTTTTTTAAAAATTGTTAAAGTTATTTGACTGAGTTCAAGAACAATCAAATATTAAATAAAATGATTTAGCTTCCCCGATCACAAGATATCTCTCCTATAAGATATATATGGGAGAAATTAAAAGTAATGTCAAAAAGTAATGCCTAATAATTTATAAAATGTGGAAAAAACTTATAAGTTAGTGGCATAAAATTAACTTCAACAAATTGGATATGTCGTTAAGTAGAATGCCAACAATATGTATAGCGTTTATTGTCACTAAGGGTCATTAAAAGGCAAGTAAATTGTAAACTAATCTAATCGGACTTTATATTAATGTTTTTGTAAACCTAATAAAAAGGAAGATAACATACAATTCAGGTAGACTTTTTTTACAGTTTCTCTCTTAATAGTAAGTAAAACTCTGTGTTTTACTTACTATTAAAAGAGAATCTATAATTATTCAAATGACCATTTGAATAATTATAGATGGTAGTGTTATGATGGTATATAGATGATAGTACTTATGACCTTTCACAACATTCACTCACATATATGGGTCTGACCTTATTACCTTTCACAACATTTATTCTCATTAATGGGTCTGATCTTATTACCTTTCACAAGGATTTATCTATAAACTAATAAATTTTTCCAAGTAAAAAAAATGAGTTTAATAAGTTATAAAAATGCATTAATATCATATTTGTTTAATACATATAAAAATACTCATTGAGGTTATATAAAAACAAAATATTTAGAAAGATTTAATATTTATAAATACCTCTGGTGGTTTCATGTTTAAAACTTTTGTAATTCGTCCCTAGAAAAAAAAAATTCTAAATTAAAGTTTTGATGTTCAAAGCTAAAAAAAACTTTCTTATTATTTCATTTTTATTTTATGAACTTGTACACCATTTAAACTATTTTAAAATATTTGTAAATAAAATATTTATAGAAAATAATACTTAAAAAAAACAAATTAAAAACCTGCATAATCAAAAAATGTGGATTATTAATATTCAATTGCACAGAACGAAACAAATCTTGAACTCTAGCATTGTGAGCATTAGATCCATTAATAAGATATTTATTTCTTCCACCAAGTACTATCTGCAAAAAAAAATGTATATTTTGTATACTATTCTAACAAATATATATATACTATTCTAACAAATTTATTGATATTATAACTAACAAATTTATTGATATTATAACTAATCTTTTATTATACAACATATTGAAAAAAAAATTATTGTTGAAAAAAATTGGTAAAATTGCAATTTTTTTCATTTTTAATTAACTACTTCATTTTTTATGTTAAATCTAGTATGTTCATTTTATATAATATAATTGTCAATTTAAAAATTTTCATATAATTTTTCTTCAATTGAGACCCACAGTTTTTGGAAAAAATTTTTGTTTAAAAATATTTTTAATTTAAAATTTTTTTTAAACCTTTTATTTAAATATGTTTTTTTATATATATATAGAACAAACTGTTATTATATAAAATACATTAAAGTGTGTCAGCAAATAATCGACCAGCTAACACATGGAATTGATAATCAATTGTTTTGTTTTTTGACAGTTTTTATTTTTTCTTCATTTATAAATTCTTTTTTCAAATTTTAAAGCATTAAGTTATTTTTGTTTTATAAATACAAAAATAACTTAATGCTTGAAAATTAACAAATTTGTATTTCTTTTAAAACAATAAATTTTGAACCAACACAGCAATTTAATCACCGACAAAACGAAAAAAACCAACAAACACAACAATTTAATCACCAACAAAATGACAATAGCTAATATATTTAACAAACACTTTCAATCAATTTTCACAAATAATATCACAAATAATAAGCTTCCTTAACTTGAGAACCAATTCTTAACTCAAGCAAATGATAACGCAGATCTTCTTTTTGTGAAACCATAATATTGCAGAAACTAGAAAATTTAAATATTTAAAAATCGATCGGAATCGATGGTGTAAGTCCTAACGTTCTAAAAAACTGTGCAACATCATTTTGTATTCCACTAAAAATAATTCTAATGAAAAGTTTCAATTTAAGTTCATTACCGAGGCAAAGGAGCCAGGCAAATGTTACTCCACTACACAAAATCGGAAGTCGACTAATTGCAAGTAATTACAGGCCAATATTGCTCATTTCAGTAAGTGAATTAATGGAAAGTACAATTTGTGACTCCATGATGAAACAGCTAATAACAATGAAACAGCTAATAACAAACTTATCACGTCGCAACAACATGGTTTCGTCCCAAAAAAGAGCTGTTTCATAAACTTGCTAGAGTGTCAAGACTTTGTTAGTACAACTTTACATAACAAACATCTAGTCAACTATTTACTGATTTTGCAAAAGCATTCGACACTGAATCACATGAATACATTATCCATCAAGTTAAATCGTACAGTTTTAATAATAAATTTGCTGCATGGATAAAATCTTTCATAAGTAACAGACAACAAGTTGTATTTGATGAAAACCAGTCTGACTGGAGTCACTGGCTGATATAGAGCGTGCTTATTACATTCTCTCGTTTAACACTATG